AATTAATTAATTAATTAATTAATTAATGTATGAATGAATTAATGAATTTATAAACGTACGAATAGTTGCATGAATGAATGAATGAATGAATGACTGTATGAATGTATGATTGTTTGATTGTATGAATGCATGAAGGTATGTAAAGAGACAAGCGCTCCAGTCGTCACCTTCTGCAGCCGGTGTCGACCGTCTAGGCCGCCTCGTCGAGCCCACATCAGCTGTATCTTCTGGGCTGGTCAGGCGAATGTCCTGCATTGTCCGGCGCCGGCAATTAATCATCACCCACCTCCATTTGCAGGTTTAACAGTCTCTTCGTCTGCTCGGTCTGTTTACCGATTCTCGTCCAATCTTGTCGACCCCTGGTACCAGCGGGGATGTCAGCCCGGCTGCCCAGGCAACCGATTTCAGGCGTTATCGCCCCTGCCCCACTGACATCAGACCGAGGCAACCACGTGCTCGCACGAATTGTGAGGCCCAGGGAGGAGAAAGCGCAGGGGAGTGGAGAGTGTGGAGAGTGTGACGAGGTCGGCGGTGCTGGTGAACTGAACCCGGGGAGAGAATCAGGTGACTGACTGGGAGGCACGAAGAGGAGTTGACATGTTGGTGGACATGCTCGGGCGAGACCAGAACTAGCAACCAACTTGTCGGGTGTTTACGTTAACCCCTACAAGCTCTATACACCCCCTCGCGACAAAAGGGTCAGGAGTCTCGAGGCACGGCCTGCCTTGTTTGATACGTTTGATACACCCGACAGCCCGGCCACTCGGGTGGGTCGATGTAGGCTTGGGGCGGTCTGCGGCCAGCAATCTCGCTGACAAGTCAGGCAACCGGTAGCAAAGTGTCTCCGACCGGACGGTCTGACACACGTACAAGCCGAGCGGTCAGGGCGGTTTTGTAAGCCGATGTGAGGCAAAACGAGACGAGATGGCCGCTCGGTCGGTCGGTCGGCCAACCGGTCCACCGATGCCAACCAGACGACAGTACAGAAATCCGCCCCACACACCGACAAAACCAAGGCTCATGTAGGGTATGTGTGTGTGTATATCCATATGTGTATGTGTGTATATGTATATGTATGTGGATATATATATATGTGTGTGTGTGTTGATTTATATATATATGTGTGTATGGATATATATGTGTGTGTGTGGATATATATATGTGTGTGTGGACATATATATGAGTGTGTGTGGATTTATATATATATGTGTGTATGGATATATATATAAGTGTGTGTGGATATATATATAAGTGTGTGTGGATATATATATAAGTGTGTGTGGATATATATATAAGTGTGTGTGGATATATATATATATATGTGTGTGTGTGTGTGGTTTGTGATTGGGCCGAGGGGGAGCTGGTACAGAGTGGTATTTGAAGCGGCTCTTCGGACAGGCCCGAAGGGATGCGGTACCGATGGTTCCCATTTTTTCCAATGCTTCCTACCCGCCGGGCCAGTCGGGCCTGTCAAAGTGCATGTCCTCCTGGAGACAATGCTTCTGAGACCCGCCGAGCCCCGGGTCGGGCTTCGTTGGCCTGTGGAAGCAGACTTGCAGTCACATGTCTCTTCTTCGCTGGTCGTTGAGGCGCAAGCTGGACTCGGCACCCGACGAGCCCTGCCAAGGCGGGACGAGGGGGGTCAAATGGTGTCGGATTCTCAAGTTTACTCCGTTGCCCGCGACATCATTCGATAAACAGGAAGTCTCCACCGAACGATAAATCAAGTCGGCTGCAAAGTGGGTCTACTGAACTCCTGCCAGTCAGGTTGCACACAACCAGCCTGGCACAGCCTCGAGGGTTAAGGCATTCGGCCAAATACGCATACACACACACACACACACACATTTTTATATATACAAGCATACACAACAATGTATGTGAGACTGTCTATTTACACTCCGATTCACACGTCAGCGTGTTGGAGTGTGTCGGCCGGGTTGGGCGAATCCCGATCGAGTGGAAGGCGGCGTCGAGTCGCCGCCAGCCTGCTCGAGGTTGGGCTCGAGTCGGTTGGGATCTGGAGCCCCGGGGTCAGGTGGGCGTGGTGAGGTGTGATGAGGTGTGGTGGCATGTCGGCCGGTACCGGTCACTGCTTTCACAGACCCAGTATCGGGCAGTCAATGCCACCGTATCACATGTCCGAGGACACATCGAAACCGGCATAAACATGCAGCTGGCACGTCGTTCACATAAAAATTAAGTACTCTCTCATCGTGTGTCCAGCCCGGCCCCGTCTGCCAGAAGGTACCGGCGCCCAAAACAGGTGAGTCCGGCCGAAAGAGGACGATGGCAGCAACTGAGCCGCGACGGGCCGACGAGACAATCCGGCGAATCCGGACGAGCGCCAAGTGGGCCAAAGGAGAGGTCAGCAACCAATCGGCAACTTTGTTATGCAAAATAGGCCAATTGCCCATCACCCCGTCCGAGGAATGGGCAACTCCCAAGCAGACTCAAGCAGCAGAAAACACCCTTTCTATCACCTTGCGCACACCCTTGCAAGATGCATACTTGAGAATGCATATAAACATAAATACAAAGAGACCGATACACCTTCACACATAATCATACTCACGTTTGCATAGCTTCAAACATACGAATATGAATACACACATAACTGCACAAATACAGACATGCATACAAACAAACACACATACATAAGCACACATACACACTGATAAACATCTTTTGTGACATTCTGACCATAAGCAAAGCCTGTTCATGTGGTTGTGGGAAAATTAAAATTACATACCTTCATAGCCTTACACATCTCATAACTTAATTACCAACAAAAAATACTTCACAATCTTCCCCACGCTCCGCCTCCTCTTTGCGAGCATCAGAAGCCATGCAGTCGTCAACATTCCCACAACAACCGACGTCCTCCGAGTGTGTGTAGAAAAGGTGGGTTTCGAGGAATCCCTTAGTAGATTGTGGTTGGAGTAACTTTCATTTCGTTTGAAGAGGCAAGCGGAAGCGATTCGTGAGTTGGTTCCACCGGAAGCTGTGGGACCATTGCCTCAGATTTTCTCGGCGGTCTTTGGCGTACCGACCTACAACTGCGATGAATATTTTCATACTTTTCGTCTGTCATGTGACGCCGTTCTTAACGATAATTCACCAAAAATATGAAGGCCGTCTTTAAACCTACCTTTTTCTATTTAACGGTATGAAGACCAAGATGGTGTGGCCCTTTGTGTGATCGCAGTCTTATTTCGTTGTATGAAAGTGGTACATTCCCAGACGTTTCGCCGGCATCGTAGTCGGCACCGTCAGTGAGTCTCGCCAAGTCTCTTTGACCCGTCAAAGAACTCGTTACTGACGATGCCGACCAAACGTCTGGGAATGTACCACTTCCACGATCCTTCATTGGAAATGATTATGCACGCAATGTACTCCGGACTTGGTACGTTCCTCTAAGTCTACCTGCTTCTAATTTGGTCGAATTAGACATCTCATGTTTTGTTTTGTTATGCCATGCTTTGCCGAAATGTTTCTCAAAAGTTGAGTCAATTGGCTGCATTCTTCCATGAAACATTTATGACATTGATGCTGTATGATTCTGAATGGGGAGATTTGAGCGGAA